GAGCTGAAGTGCAGGTAGGTCCTGGACCCGAACAAGCCAGGACTAAGTAGGGCTGCTGGACAGCCAGCTAAAAAATGTTTTGGCGGGGGTGGTGAAATGCATGTAGTCTATAAGCTTTAGCTTATCGGTTAATTGGTTAATCAGCTATACTATTACATAGCTACACTTCTCCTTGATTTCAGAAACTGTACAATTAACTAATTAGTTGCAGAGTCATGCAGATTAATAGACTTTTGTTTGCCTTCCATTAAACAAAAACTCAAAACTGGAATCTATTCTTCTCTGCATTTAAGCACATTTAAGTTTTACTGTGGATATCAGCACAGCATCCTGCTTTAATTGTCAGGGAGCAGTGGGCACTGTGTGGGGCTCTCTCCTCAGTGTTACCTTCTGGTTTTCTTGTTTCAGCCCTTTGATCTTTGCACTTGCCCATGTTGTTCTCTTTATTTGTCCAATGTAATTGGTCTCCATGGTTCAGTAGATCCACCCCATACTCTGGGGGAGAGTCCTTTAGATGTGGGAGAGCTTACACAGTTTCCAATGGGATCCTGCTTTAAACTCTTAGGTATGTTAGCATGATAGCTCTTACTGTTTTGGAAGCACTTTTTTGTTTTCATAGTTCTTCATATTAAAGAATTATGTTCATATCTTCTATATATTGGGCTTTATTTATCTTCATGGGATGTTAACCCTTAGGCTATGTTTGGACTGCAGTGTTATTTCAGGATACTGGAGGTATCCCAAAATAGCTATTCCACATCTTTTGAGCATGCCCGCTATTTCGAAGTATGACAGCCTCACTATTCAGGTATCCCTGTAAACCTCATTCCATGAGTAGTAAGGCACATTTCAGAATAGTGATTTATTTTTAAATAAGTGCTGTGTAGACAGCGCCAAATTTCTAAATAAGCTATTTCAAAATGGACTTGAAATAAGCTATGCAATTGCATAACTCAAATTGCATAGCTTATTTTGATCTATGGGTGCACTGTAGATGCACCCTTAGACAGGGCAATAAGTATTTCTATTACTACTTTTCCCTGGAGGTTCTACCAGAAGGCAGTTTGAATTTACAGCTGAGGCTCCACTAAAGCCATGCTACTGCCATTATCTCCCAAGAAAAGCAGATAGAACCTAAGAGTTTAAAGTTTTGTTTTAAAGACATGCATGGGAAATTCCTTGAGTTACTATTTTAGTCTGGGCAGGAGGAGGGTTGATTTAATTCCACCCATCTTTAAATGGGCAGTTCCTGGTAGAATCATCAAAGGATTGATGTCAGTGCTGGCCATGCTGCGTTTGATCCAATAACTGAGAACAAAGCGCCCCTCTGTTTTTCCCTATCCTGGGATAAACTGAGGGTCCTGCTCTGGACCCAACTCACAGTAAGCTCCTCAAATGTGACTGGGAGATTCAAGGAGCCTTTCTGGAAGGTGAGACTTCACTCAAATGCCACTGATATGGTTGCCAACCCTCCAGAATTGTGATGCAGGAGGGGTTGCAAAATCTGGGAGGAGTGCAGGAGAGGATTCTGACCTCAGGGAGTGTGTAGAAGCAGATGTAGGACTTGGGAAGGGGTGGGGATGCTAAATTTTGAGTAATTAACTAATTGAAGAGTCAATGCAATTTGCTCCCGACAGCATTTCAAAGAGGTAGTGGCAGCACATGGAGCCCAGGGACTCCAGCTGACCCTGAGCACTGCCACTTTGAAACACCGCATGCAGCCTGGGGACTCCCCAGCTGGTGCTGGGCAGCATCCGGTGTTTCAAAATGGTAGCATGCATGGAGCCCAGGGTCTTGCCCCAGGGTCCACCTAGCACTGCCACTTTGAAGTACCCCCTCCTTTATCCCCTCCCTTGCTGCCTCTTTCTGATAAGAGGCAGCAAGGGGGGAGGGAAGCGACTAGTCACCTAGCCTATCGACTATCTGAGATGAATTGCTTATCAGGTGGTCGACTAGTTGACTTGTCCTTCACATCTCTACTGCCAAGAATGGGGAAAGCGAGCTATATACCTGGACACACACTCAACTGCCCACTCAGCAGGCTAGGTGGCAATGTTTCCTCTATCTTTTTTCATCCCAGGTGCCTAGAGCCCTGGGATGCCTTTAGAGCCATCTCTGGACGCTGAGGCAGAGTAGAGGGGGTGTCATGCAATGGACAATATAGCCCACAGCGCGCCACACCGGAGGGCACATGACCATGGTTGTTGGGCTAGGGCGGCCAGCAGCGCGCATCACCCCTAAGTAACCCCTATGCGGGGTCCATCACAAAGGCCTAGGGGGCCTGAGAGGCGGGAACTGCTACAGGGGCGAGAGCCGTCGGGGGAGGGGAA